TGCCGAACTTTCTGCATATTGAAAAATTTGTGCATGAATGGAACAAACTCCATGAGTTCTTCAAAACGTTCCCTGAATGGCACGATAACGGCCAATTTATGAGGTCCCCATGATAGATTATCTTCTTCGACGTCATCGTCGCTTTGTTTCCTGCGTTGCTTGAGTTGCTCTTCTTGGACACCGATCTGTTGCTTCAAGCCCTGGATCTTAAGGGCCATCTGGTCGATCTCATAGCAGTCACAGTGTTTCCGCATCAATAGGTTGACGGCAAGCAAGATTAATATCACTACGAGGAATAGGACGAGCCTGGTGAGGGATAGACGTCTGAAAGCCATGGATGCCGCACATTACCTGCATTTACAAAGACACAGATTGGTCAAGAGATTACTGCTTTCATAAAATACAACATACAAGGAACATCACTTAGTCTACCAAATTAAACGTTTTGCTTTATCAGACTAGAATCTACCATTATCTTTCGAACAATGAAAAAGAATGAAAATCTCTCATTCTTTTTCTTTGAAGCAGTCCTCTCTTTTTATTTTTTCAGACAATGTGCTGGTATAGATTCTAAATTGTTGTCGATTAGATTAAGAGCCTTTCTGTCTTGTATGCCTACATGTCAGAGGGGGCGATTTCTTTTGACCGGGGGGGGGGGGGGGGGGGGGGGGTGGGGAATTTTCTACAATATTTACTTGTACATTTTTAAGGATATTTTGCGAGGGAGCGTAGTTCACCGAGCGAGAAGATTTTTGCAGTCTTATTAGTTTAAACGCTGCACTCTTGGGCCCTACAGCGCCTAAAAGTGTGTTATAGTCTTAAGTCAGTATTTGCTATACTTTTTTTTTTTGGGGGGGGGGGCACTTTTTCAAATTTTCTGGGATCCCCTCTTTAAATAATTGAGAGGGAAACCCCTGGGATCGCTGCCCCTGCTACATGTAGATGTGTAATGATTGGCGTAAATGAGGTTGAATTGAATTATATGTCACAGTGTAGTTGTCAAACTCTAATAAGTCATCATCGTCATCATCATCATCATCATCATCAGGTTCAAATGGAAGGCACTCGTTTTTCTGAACAAAATTTCAAAATAAATGCACAATTCCAGATTCACAATTATTGTATTATTATGAAGATTCATTATTACATAAGTGAAATAGGATGATTCATTATTCCGAAAACTAGAAATAGTATTCATAATTTCGGAAATCAAGTAGAATTGATATTCCAAAGGTTCATAATTCTGAACTATTTTATTTTCAGAATAATTATGAAGGTGCAAAGAGCAACAAAGTTAATTCCAGAGATCCAACATCTATCCTATCTGATTCTGATTCTGTTCTGATCCTGGTCCTGATCCTCAAGAGGGATATAAAGATGACCAATAAGAACGTTATCGTTCGAGAGAGAGTGTTTATTGCTTCTAGAACATTTTAGAATTGAGTCCCATCACATTGCAGTTGTGGGGAGGGACTATGATTATATTATATTACCCCCCCCCCTGTCTATTGTAGGCTTCAGCATCAGCATCAGTGTACGGAAGTGTGAGATTATATTACCCCCCTGTCTATCAAGACAGACTTAAAAACCTCAGAATGTATTCACTGCAATACAGAAGGATAAGAGGCGACAAGATCGAGTTCTGCAAGCTGATGAACGGCCTCGTAAACTCCGATCCCGCAGCCTTCTTCACATCTGCACCTCATGAAGCTACAAGGGGACACCACCAGAAGCTGTATAAGCAAAGGAGCAACACAGCCCTAAGAGGAAACAGCTTCAGTCAGAGAGTAGTAGAATTCTGGAATAGTCTTCCTACATCTGTCATCTCTGCATCATCACTCACTTCTTCCAAGATTAGATTGGACAAGCACTGGTCCTCTCAACATCAAATGCTTCCATAAAAATTAAATATGTGCATCCACCCGCCATGCGAGCAAAAAATAGTTCAGGTTTAATAGAACGAAGCACCACTCGATGAAACGACCGGAAGTTTCAACAGGATCATCATCACCTCACACTTCCGTACACTGATGCTGATGCTGAAGCCTACAAAGAAAATTCACGCTTTCGAAATCAGGGGGGTGTTTCACAAAGATCCCAAGTCAAACTTAACTCTAAGTTGGACTTAAATATTATGGAGAGCCATTTGTAGCCTTAAAATAAAATATGTTCAAAGCGAAAATTCAAGTATTTTAGACTTTTTATAAATTCCAGATCAAGAACATGAAATCTCCTTGATAATAGAATATTATGATTGATTTAAATCAACATTTTATACCTCTTTAAAAAACTTTTACAAAATATTTTCAAAGATGCTAACAGCTTTCCATAATTTTTAAGTCCAACTTAGAGATAAGTTCAACTTAGGATCTTTGTGAAACACCCCCTGGTGTTGGAGGAGGATGCCGAGGATATCCTGGAATTGGAAGGCTCATGAATCAAATAATGTTGTCAAGAACCAGATTGGAGCAAAGGTCACCCTATGCCAGAAGATAGAGAAGAACAAGTTGCAGTGTTTTTGACACATTTCTAAGAGAGAAGGTGACAACCTGGAGAAGATCATCACCCAACGTCATGTTGAGGGTCAACTAAAACGTGGTAGGCTAAAAGTTTGATGGGCTGACGGAATAGAAGAGATTACTGGCATCAACGTCATCTGCACAGCATATCACTTTGCCCAGAATTGAGGGTACAGAATACGGTCACAAAGTCACATACATGTACAAATGTAGGACTATGACGACGATAAGGCTTTATTTAAGGGTGTAATCTGTTTTATTTTCAGATAAAAGAACTTTGGAATTATGAACATAAGAGCACAAATCTTCAGAATAACAAACCTCTCGAATTATCAGGCTTTTGGGTTAAATAAAAGATAATATACCCCGCTAAACAATTTTTGTTATAACTTTAAATAGTCTTTAGCCTATACCACAGCCTAGACCCCTACCTATGCCTAAAAAAAACAGGCAAATCATGAATGTGTAGCGGCTCTTACATTCGCCCTACTTTTATCGTACATTCATGTCTCCAGTATTTTTCCATCACGCTACTTATTTATATGCATTATTTGGACCACGTGTATTTATACTTCCAATCGAGCACCGTGCTTCCGCGCACCCTTTATCCGCTTATTTTCAACGCCACAAGGTTTTTCTTCACTCCCGCTTCCAACTTGGTCGAGTCAAGACGTCTCCATGATTTCCTCTCCTGGTTTTATTCTTCTGTGCTTTTCGTCGCTTCTACGGCACATCTACATTTTCCCTGCCGTGTTCATCGGGCTGCAGTCTCCCAGTGTAACGTTATAGTCAGCACCGACATGGCGTCTGACTCTCCGCTGGGAGCTTCCAGTTTCTTCGTTCCGGTAGCTCTTTCCACTCTCGAGCTCAGACAATTTACCGCAGCTCATCTAAACATTTCTTCATCAAAGTCCTGGTCATTCATCGAGCGACTCGCTGCTCTTCTTAACTACCGGCTTTGCATGTCTACCTTTCTACTCTTCGCCTACGACAGCGAACAACCCACTGCACTGTTCCGACTTCGAGCGCCACTGTTCTTCTCTTCTCTTCTCGCCTGAGAGCTTCTTCATCATTTTTATCACGAGCGTCAGCGTCGAGATCCTTCACGGTTCTTCAGCCACGAATAAGAAGCTGCATCTCTGCCTTCAAGCCTCCGCATATTCATCGCGTGAGCCCCTTCCTTCGTTCTTCACATCTCTTCTTTTCATTGGACTTTCGACGTCATTTCATATATGTCGTAAGCTCTATTCATTCATTATGTACATCGCATTTATTCATGTTCATTCTCATCTTTGATCATTATGTAATCTCTGTGCAATATTCACATTTACCATTTATGCATTTTCATTCCGATTCTTCGGCTTGTGCTTGGCTACACTTTGCAAGTGTACGGCCAGCCTCATCAGTACTCAATAAATTAATGAAAAGGGAATACTTTCTTTCATGTATTTTATTGTCAGTGCAACCTTGTTTCCTCGTAGCTAAAATAAAAATAAGAACTTATGTTGTGTGACGAGTGAACACGCTTTCAAATATCCATTCACTATTCCCCACACACCCATATCTCTAAAAATGCATCATGGAGGACTCTCTAGAAAAAAATCTAGAGTCTAGACTAGATCTATGCTTTGCTGGAGTGTAAAGTGGAGTGCCTAGACCCTAGGCTAGGCTAGGGCCAGGGCCAGGGCCAGGGCCAGCTGTAATGAGTGACTAATTAATGGAAGTTTGAGCTGATCCTGAAAAATTTGTTTGCCCCTTATCCTTTCTAAAATTATTGACACTAATGACAGGAAACACGTCTTAAGTACAGGCCCATATGTTGAATTTTATGTGGTTTCAGTACTTCAGAATTCACAAAAAAGGTAAAATTGAAAGGTTTTTGACATTGTTACACGTTAACGTTGTGATAAGGAAATCATTATTCAAAAATTTCATAATTTCATAGCGATTTGCACAGTTTACTATAGACTCTACTCTTCTTTGCGTTATAATTTGCCCGAAGTGACACGTGTAACAACTAACCAAGCTGCACCCGTCGCCCAAGCTCCGGGGGCCGGTCGGCGGTCGCTGCATGCTAGCTCAGCCAGTACCTGGGCGGCCGGCGGTGCCCCATGCTAGCCCCGCCGACATAGGCGTAGACCTACTGTAGTAGCGGCAATCGGCAGCGTCCATCTCTCAAATAGCAACTAATTTAAGGTAGGCCTAGGAAAGGGTACAAGGAATCAGTTAAAATTGAATTAAAATGAAAAAACTTACATTTGTCGTTTATAGGAATGGATCATTCAACCTCGAAATGTACCTGAGTGATGTGAAAATGTGAAATATACAGGTGAAAGGTGTCACGGTCCTCGACTGACTTGTTGGCTGTAGCCTAAACAGCTAGTCTCAGTACAAGCAATTAAGTGAAACCTGGAGTGACTGCACACTTGCTTGTTGAGCACATTCAAGCAATATTGCGCTTTAGCTGATGACTATAGACTATTATAACCTAAACAAAAACTTATCAAATTTAAGAACATAAGAACGTCTATACAAAAAAAAAAATGTTGAAAATTTAAAGAAGATCATGCAATGATATCGGATGACTTGATTTGAATGTATTTTGAATTGATCCAGGTCCCTTGTCGCAGTTGCATTAGAGATCTTGGCAAGATGGCTTCTGGAAACTGGTATGATTCTGCCATAGAGGGTGTGCTTCTGGACATTACTGGTGTGCTGTACAATAGCACGGACGAAGGGGGTGTTCCGATACCTGGCTCAATTGAAGCGGTCAAAAGGTAATAATACTATAGCAAAGAATGTTGAAAAGGAACTTTGCACCATCAAAAAAGAAAATTTTGAGTTGAGGTGCTCTGACATTTGCTGCGACAACAATTGCTCTAGGCTTTATAAAGATAGGGCGCAGTTGGATTTGTGCTAGGACGATTTCCTAGGCTTTGAATTTTTAAAGCCTGGCTTTATAAACTATAGGAGTGCAGTTAGTTTTACCTTTACCCTTTACCGCAAATACTGGAAGAATGCTGAGACAGCAGTCGAGGTTCCAGGTCTATCTTCTTGGTCTATCTTCTTTTACTCATACTCTTTAATAATAATTCTCATTATATGCAAGGGAGGCAGAGGGGCAAGAGGTTGCATCTTGACTGGACAATGTACCATGTACAATGTCCCAGGAGCAAAGAAATTGAAAAAATCAGTTCGAGTATTGAGAGATATGACACTGTTCCTTCCAGCAACGATCAAGCCTGGTTTTGAAGGCGTCTATGGTGGGAGCCTGAACTACTACTTCAGGCAGAGAGTTCCAGTCGTCAATCACTCTGTGACTAAATGCTAGGTCGAGACTCTACTAGATAACAATTGCTGTATATGTAGCCCAAAGCCAGGAAAACAAATGTTATAACTCTCTGGAATGCATGCATCTTGGGACATAATTGTCGCAGTGTGATAATTTGATATATACATCAAAGTGTTGTGTCACATAATTTTTTGCAATGTTCCCTGTGTCATTTTCATATTAAGACTACGACTGTTCCTTTAATTTCACAATTCATCCATTAAATGTCAAGGAGATACTATAGGCAACCCTTTCCTTAACCGTAAAACCAAGCTCGACACCAACATGTAATTTGTTCAGACCATATTATAATATAGAACTGCAGGGTTCCAAATATAATAATGCTATAGTGACCACCTGTCTACAAAGACCTCATTTCTTGTTTCCCTTGAAAATGGTTTCTCATTGAAACATGCACTGAAGGAACCTGTCTACAATTCACAAAGACCACCTGTCTACAGAGACCACTTTTTTTTTGTTTCCCTTGGGCGGTCGCTAAAGAGAGGTTTTACTGTATATAGAAACTAAAATCTGTAAGCCCTAGTGTAAACTGACTGTGAAACTCTTTCTCATGATTCCTCACTGCCAGATTAAAGGCATCTGGTGTCCGGGTCAGGTTCTGCACCAACGAGACCCAGTGTACTCGCCAGCAGCTGGTGGACAAGCTCCAGAGGTTGGGATTTGAGCTGTCGGTCCCGGAAGTCTTTGCTCCTGCACCCGCTGCCTGTCAGTTGCTCAAAGCCAGAGGCTTGACGCCCCACTTACTAGTCTATCCAGGTGAGAAAGACCTGGGGGGTGTTTCACAAAACTTGTCACCAGTGACAAATGACAGTTTTTGTTATAAGCTACTAAAATCCTTGCTTCTGATTGGTTATCAGCAGATTTGTCACTGGTTTTTATGATTTGTCATTGAAAAAAGGCTTTGTGAAATAGGTCCCTGGTCACCTGTCAAAATATTTTATACTAATTTTCAAAGCAATAGACTCAACTACATCTTATCTTTCCAGGTACTAGAGAATTTTCTACCAAGTATAGTCTAGGTATACCATTGGTTCTATGGCTCAAAGCCAATAGTTTCTATTTTTTTCAGAATTTCTAAGGCCATGGATCCAGTAGCTGCTTCACCTTGTGTTTCTCAGATGGAACGTAATCCTAGCTCCTACTAAACTCTAATCTAAACTCTGATGAGGAAAAAATTGATAATTCTAACAAAAAATGAAAATGTCACATGGGTCTCCTAATCCTAATCCAGATAAGGGGTAGGACCGATTGGGTTTGGGACATGGCCTAGGGAGACACCTGTCGCTGTTCTTCCGTCTTACTTGATACTTAATGGAGTAATCCCTTTAGTAGCTCACTCAGGAAGCTATAGGCTACTGGGATGGTAGGTGAGGCAAGTAGCTGCAAGGAGGGCTATGCAATCCAGAATTACAGAAGGTTTGCCAGGGTCCAAGAGAAACTCGCGATCATAACCCAGAGATTGGATTTGGGACATGGCCTAGGGAGACACCTGTCGCTGTTCTTCTGTCTTACTTGATACTTAATGGAGTAATCCCTTTAGTAGCTCACTCAGGAAGCTATAGGCTACTGGGATGGTAGGTGAGGCAAGTAGCTGCAAGGAGGGCCATGAAAGTCCAGAATTACAGAAGGTTAGCCGGAGTCCAAGAGAAACTCGCAATCATAACCCAGAGATAGGATCAATTGGATACAGGAACGTAAAGTCAACATTTTATCATCATCTCCCTGTTGTTCTTTCGAAATGTCTTCAGAACTCCAAGGTCCAAAAGAAACTCCTAATTCTTACCCAGATTAAGGGTAGGAACAAGTGGATGAAGGACTCTAAAGATACCCTCATCATTACTCTTCTGACATTTTGGCAGAATCCATAAGAAGCTCCTAAATCTTAACCCAGATATATGTCAGTAGGCCTATAGGCCCAAGCTGATGCAGTCCTGAGCATAAAGACACCGCATCTCTCTGTTGTTCTTTTGAATAATAATGATAATAAATAAAACATTACTTATAAAGCGCTTACCACCGAAGTCTCTAAGCGCTATAACACACAAAATAGACTGATAAACAATTACATATTAAACAAAACTAAAAAAGTGCAAATAAATCTACAAATTACAATACATATGGAATACACAAAGTGAACAAAGTTAATTAATCATCAAACACAATTTTGAATAAATGTGTCTTAAGACTAGTTTTGAATAGGTTAACAGTTCCAATATGTTCCAAAGTTCAGCAGAAGCTTTGCAAAAAGAGCGATTACCATAAGAAAGAGTTGACACAGACGTAGATACGAGGTTTAATTGTGAAGATGACCGTAAATTGCGTGAAGGTTTTTGTATTCCTGGATTAATTCTTGCAGATAAATTGGTGCCAATTCATGAATGCATTTATAAGTTAAAACTAAGATTTTGTACATAAAATATAGATTTTGAATGTCTTCCACAGGTGTTTTGCCTGAGTTTGAAGCCTTTGATCTCGGTGCCAAGCCAACCTGTGTGGTTGTAGGTGATGCTGCAGATATCTTCAACTACGAGACGATGAACAACACCTTCAGGAAACTCCTAGAGATGGATCCACCTGTACTTATATCCATGGGTGTGGGGTAAGCTTTTAGATAGCTTACAGAGAACAACTAATTAACATATTGTTGCTCATTGCTTTGATGACATTGTCATTTGTTATAGAGTGTATAGTTGCCAGAAGCTTATCTTAGTACTATGTCCCTTTTTCAGGCCCAAAAAAATGAAAAGGTTAAATTCCAACAGCATTTGAAAGACGGTACTAATTTAGAACTGCCCTAAAAAAAAGGGGGCTTGAAAATCTTTTTAAGTGGGAAAATAAAGACTATCAGTTGTCAAATCGACTTAGGAGCTATAGAGCTATCAAGTAATAGTCTGATTTTCAGACCATTGTACCGAATGGTTGTACGTTTTATGCTGCGCAAAGATTCAATCAGTTTAATTTTGGCCATCACAAGAAGTGGGTTATTGATGTAGACAAATGCTTATGCACCCTTTACAGCTCCTTTTATGTATGTTATTACCAAAGATGAAAAAAGCCAGTTAGTCACTCGATAGTGTCTGACAGTGAAGTCTAGCAAGTAAACGGGTTTCCTTGCATAATTTGAATATTAGGACACTGCTAATGTTTGAATTTCACAGATAGGACATACATGACATATAATTCCTGCAAAGTTCTACAGAATTTGATGTTGGCTGCAAAAGGGACATAGTATCTTTAAAGGTTGTGTATATTTGTAATTGCAGAATGCAAACATATATATTTTCTTTGAAAATGATCTCCATGAATTATCTGTCCAGCCATTCACAAAAGTTATTCATTTTAATTATTTCTTTTCTGTCATATTGTAACTCATATTTTATGACCCATGCTGGCATTCACTATTCATGTTCATGTTTAGAATGTTTTTGTTTTGTTTGTGTATCAGGAAGTATTATCGTCATGGAGGAGAGCTAATGTTAGATGTTGGTCCTTTCACTAAAGCATTGGAGGTAAGATGATCCACACACAAAAAATCCAAAAATGTTATATCCACCCTGATATCAGTTTTAATATAGATGAAAGAATAAAATGGGGAGAATAGATCAGTGAAGATATGTTACAATGTATTTTGGGTATTACCTTCATAATGACATCAAATTTCTTTGATGTTTGTTCATATATTCATATTCATATTTATTTCATTTACAACAGAAAGGTAAAAAACAATATTACTTTTTTTTTCCATACATATTTCATTTTTTCTGGAAACTATACAAATACACTTTGCACATAATTAAATTATTACAAGAAACTCTTAATTTCTGACTGGGGGGGGGGGGGGTCTACTAAAAAGTGTTGATAGTGTAGTGATCACGTGATGAATTTGTATTGATTTCTATTTTACTAAACCCTTTTCTTGCTAACAGTACGCTGTGAGGTGCGAGGCTATTGTAGTCGGGAAGCCAGATAGGAATTTCTTTCTTGGAGCTCTTCAAGACATGGGGGTGCAGCCACAAAATGTGAGTACATTATATATTGTCTTTCAACTTATACAGTGCGACCCAGAAAAAACAAAACCGAGAATTATCAATGTTTTATCATAACTTAATCACAATTTTGATTACTGAATGACACATATTTGTAAAGCGTAGATCCTCTTCTTTCATTTGATGCAACTCATATGATGCATATTTCATGCATGAGTGATTAAAATGGAATTGAAGAGAGGGAACCAAAAAGTCATTTGTCGGGCGGTATCTGAATTTCAAAGAGAAAATCACATTTATAGAAAAATCTATTTTTTGCCCTTTCATATGATACCTCAATCAGGAAAGATGAGCAAGGAATAGCAAAGTTCTGTTTATCGGTATTTTAAGTGATGCTTGCATTTCCATAATTTGATTTTAAAGTTTGTTTTCACTGGCCTCCTGCCGTAGCAACAAGCAGAATTGACAAAAGACTTAACTCCGTTGCATTGAAAATAAGCCATGCATGAAGTCTTTCGTCTATGGCTGATCGTATTTCAGGGTTGAATTCAAGATTCTGTAAAAGAAAGTGGGGCACAATCCAAAGGAACTCTAGCAATTGAATCAAAACCATCTGTTTGTGTACGCAAGAATTCAAGATTTGGTTAGGAATGCCAGATTGGATTTGTTTCTTGAGGGGGGGGGGGCTGGGCTTTGTTGTGCCTCAAGTAAGCCCGTCAGTGGTATACTTCTAGATGCACTGTCAGATAGATGCTGTCTTGGTGCTATATCCATAGAAGTTAGCAATCATGCCATCCAATTACACTCTTTATCTAGCTATTCATTCAGTTCTACCTACCTAGAGGTATTTAAGTGTGATAATTCATTCTAAAGGATTTTAGTCATGAAAAGACTCAAGTATTTTAAAATGTTTTTTGCCCCAAACTTTTGGAATAACCTGCCTATAAGTAGCACTAGATATTTCAGAGGTATTTATTTTAGTGATAATTCATTAAAAATCATTTTAGAAATGAAAGGTCATTAAAGGCAGTTCCTTTACAAGAACTCTAGATTAATTGTAAATAGTGAAAACATAGTGAGGCAGATCTGTTTTTCTCATTACCTAGCTTGCATGGATATGTACAGTGTTGTGTGAAAATTATTTCGCTGGGTTTTTTTTAAACAGGAAATAATGGCTTATAATTTGTTCTTGTTTGTGTTGTTTGACAGGCCATTATGGTAGGAGATGACATAGTGAATGATGTGGGAGGTGCACAGAAGTGCGGCCTGAAGGGCCTTCAAGTTAGAACAGGAAAATTCAGGTGAGTTTATTTACAATGAATTACAATGCTCAAGTTTATCTGTCACTGCTTCGTTAAATTCGTAACCACTGGTGTGCCACTAGATTATTGAGCAGTTATTATGTAGAGGTGTCGTGGTTGAGTGGATATGTCACCGGACTGTGGTTTAAGTCCCGCCTCGGCACTAATGTCCTTTGGCAAGACCGATTGATCTACATTTGCCACTCTCTGCTCAGGTGTTAAATGGGTACCCGGTAGGATGAATACTCCCCAGGGAATGGAGAATGTGCATACATTATGTGCAGGTAAGCCTGAAGCCGATGACCAGGGATATAATATATCTGTAAAGTGCTTAGAGAGGGCCTGTGGTCCTGAAAAGCGCTATACAGAACACACTGTTATTATTATCATACACTAAATTTTAAGATTAATTTATCAACTTTACGTTTTATGTCCCTATCACATTGATAAATTGAATATCTCTTCCATAGGAGCTAACAACACAAAACAGAAGAAATATCACCACTTCAATTTTCTTGTACATGTAATACTTTATGCTTTTTTTTCACAAAACAATCAAGTAAAGAAAAGCAACTAGTTTTGTCCAAAATGAACCCTTACAAAGCTGCAGGCACAGTATTACAAGAAAAATCAAAAGGATATATATCTCTTGTTTTATAAAGTACACAAAGGACTAAAGCAATTAATGCAGGATGAAAGTATGCAATGACATACTTTATACCACCCCTTGTAGTACCCTTGTCAGTATGAATTTCCAGTGATTCTTTTTCTGTGTGAAGTCCACCCCGCTTGAAATTAGCATGGACAAACTGTCGGGTATATCCATTATAGTAGCATCAAGGGTGTTATACACTGGCAAAGAGACATCTTGACTAATGGGAGGCACGGTGGCTCATTGGTTTAGAGCAGTGGTCTTGTAAACAGGAGGTCCCGGGTTCGAAACCAAGTCGATGCGCTCATACGTGCCCTTTGGTAAGGATTTAATCCTCATAATCAAGTCCCTCAGAGAGGACTTAAAGCTGCACTGCACTACTCATAGCTACTTACGCCCTCTATATAGCAAACAATGCCTAATCGGTGACCATTGGTCCCCCATGATCCCCTTTTTCTAATTGAGAGCTTATTTGATGAGATAACCACCTGTCAGTGACCATGCAGGGAGGTCTGATCTCTCCTGGCCGTCCTCTGGTTGCTTACTTACAAGCATATGCATGCTTTCTTAGCAGTCAGGTAAAACAAACAAACAAACATTGACCAATGATTTTTCCTAAGAATCCTTCTGATTGGGATGTCGTGGACGAGTGGATATGTCACCGGACTGTGGATCACAAGGTCCGCGGTTCAAGTCCCACTGCGACACTAATGTCCTTTGGCAAGACATTGATCTACATTTGCCACTCTTCACCCTGGTGTTAAATGGGTACCCGGTAGGATTCAAAAGCTAATGTGGTTAGATGAGCAAGTGTGCGCTTGTAAAAATGACGCCTGGCTGGAATGCTCCCCAGGGAGTGGAGAATGTGCATACATTGTGTGCGGGTAAGCCTGAATCCGATGACGGGGGTAATAATATGATTGCAGGGCCCTCGGGGAGAACAGTATAAATACTAATGAGGCTACCCTGGGTAAACAAGACATATTATTATTTGTTATTATTATTACTATTATTATTATTATTATTATTTTTTCCTCCTGATTTTCTCTGGGTTTCAGACCTTCAGATGAGCACCATCCTGAAGTTAGACCAGATGGCTTTGTGGAAAACCTTGCCCATGCTGTAGACCTCTTACTCCAACACCGGAAGAAATGAGCTGTGGACCCAATAACACTTCCATCTAGTCTGCAGTCACAGGTCTTTACTTGATAATAACGCAAGGTCTGAACCATCTTGGGTTGTAGACTAATGGTCAGTAAATGGTATGCAGGTACTGACACAATTTCGACTCTTGTTTTATATATTTCTAAAAATGAAGGAAATAAAAGGTAAATCTATCTGAACAGTGTGATAATACGACTGAGAGAAACTTTATAAAGATGTGCATTTTTTTGTTCTTAGTGTTTTTTGAAGATTTAAATTTCTAAACATAACATGAGAACTTTTTGAAAGATTAGTCTCCAAAACCTGCTTACAGTATGGAGAACAGGGCCCATATCCATGAAACCTGACTAAGCCTAGTTGCCAACTAACTAAGCACTATAAACTATATAAATAGTTGACAATTAGCTTTACAGTAAAGTTTTATGAACATGGGCCCAGTACTCTATGCACTTTGGGTTCGCCCTGCTTCTGCAAAAGAAATGACGTCGGAGAAAGGTAGTCTTGGGGGTGTTTCACAAAGACCCTAAGTTGAACTTATCTCTAAGTTGAACTTAAAAATTATGGAAACCCGTTAGCATCTATGAATATATTTTGTAAAGGTTATTTTAAAAGGCATAAAATGTTGATTCAAATCATTCATATTTTCTCTCATCAAGGAGGTTTCATGTTCTTGATGTAGAATTTATATAAGTCTAAAATACGGTACTTGAATTTTTGCTTTTGAATATATTTAATTAAAGACTACAAATGACTCTCCATAATATTTAAGTTCAACTTAGAGTTCGACTTGGGATCTTTGTGAAACACGCCCCTGGTAAGATGGGTGAAAATAGGGAAAGTGTAATTGTCAAGCAATTTAAGACAACTGATTAAATCACAGTATAATTAGCTATATATTTAGAATATTGCAATGAAATCAAAAGCTATTAATGTCCAGTTGTGACTTAAGTGTTTCTTTATTTTATTTTCATGTTAGCTTCCATTATGAGAGGCCTCTTGCCCATACATGTATCAATGTCGCCTTATTGTGACGTTCATTTGTATCATTTGATCCAAAATGCTCTGAATTTAATTTGATTTTATTTTATTTTATTTTCTTCTGCATTCATGTAAGTACACAGTTTTTCGATAAAAATAATAATATAAAGTACAATAAGTATTTTCTGACAACGAATCGTAAATAAGCAAATATATATATATATATATTTATATTCCACACACTAAGAATCTTGCTCTACGTTTGGTCAAAAGTAAATCACGTGATAAAAGATAGTTCGCCCATCATTGCTGGGAGAATCGAAATTTTGTTACACTGGGTAGATAGGCTACTATCTACACAATGCAATGCACTTTCACTGAAGATAGAAGTCCTATCTACACAGTGCAATGCACTTTACTTGTATACGCTGCGTATTGCTCCCCTCTTTAAGCGCTTTTAGTGTTAGTACGCGAACTTTGGTCACGTGCGAATTTTTGGTCACACCACCATACTGCATGCACTGTACGTATCGTACACTGTTTGCTAGCTGTTAATTGATGACTTGTTGCTCTAAAATGACGGAAGAAGTGAAATGTTTCAGATGTGGAATATAAAGCAAATAATCACCTTTTGGTTTCAAGCGATGGCAAACTATTACTTCCTCGGCGATCTGAATGTATACGCTATCTTTCCTCAGCTTTGCTTTGGGAAGATAGCTACATCCAGATCGCCTCGGAAGTGATAGTTTGTCCCATCACCTTCACCAACGGTAGTTATTTGCTTAATATAACAATTGTTATTTTCAAAAACAATATGATAAACTGTCATAAATACTTAATTTCCTAAAACATTATGAAATTATTTGCAGAAGAAGGAATGTCATTGTAAGCAGGTTGCTTGATAATACGACAGCCCCAGACAAAACTCATGAAATAGATTAACACATTTATTAAGCAGAACGGTAATTGAAAATACAAATTTTGATGATGGCGATATTGACAATGCGGATGAGGATGATGATGATGATGATGATGATGATGATGATGATGATGATGACGACGATGATGATAATTAAACAATGTACATGAGTAGTACTGTGCAAAAAATCACTGGAAAAATCTGAATATATTTATCTTTTAGTACAGTGTGCCTTCCATGAATATGACTGACTTATCGAAAAATAATAACTGAAGTCTCTTATTTGGCAATGCAGTATGAAATTCCTTGTTTAAAGTGGCATTTTTTTTTTTATTTTACCTAATTATCATTCATACTGTTTCATTTGATACACCTTTTGTAATCTACAACAGATTAGAAAATACATATAATCGTCACCAATTTGATGAGGAAAAGCTGATTCATTTAGACCTTTAGAAAACTCTTAACTGTTATGGGTTAAAGGGAAATCCAACCTTGATAGCAAACTTGTCTAGAATAAAGCAGAAAAATCAGAGAAGCATACTGATGAAAGTTTGAATGAAATCTGACAAAAAATTAGATAGTTACGAATTTTTGAAAGTTGCAATTACTATAGGTATTGGCTCTTCAAATTGGCTGATTTGATAATGTCTATGTGATCTAGTGGCGCTCAACTTTCCCATTTGCTCCAAGACACAAAAAGACTAAAATGTCAACTTTTCATAAATGTATGACTCAGGATGGTCTGTTCTTTTTAGAGGACCTGTAATAATGTACTCTCCATGACATATTTTGAGTACGGTAGTGCCCCGAGGGTGAGGGCACTTGGGTGAAAAACAGAAATAAGTGATATTTTTCTACACAACAAATGGGAGAGTAATCCATCACTACGTCACAATCCACTGACAAAATTGCCAATTTGAGATTCGCACAGCTGTAATGATCTCATATTTTAAACACTCATAGCTTTCTTAATATTGGTCCGATTTATTTCAAACTTTTGCCATTCTTTTTTTCTGATTTTTATGCTTTCATTCAAATGGTCTTATTAGAAGGGTTGGATTGCCCTTTAAGTAAAGAGTTGATCTTAATCCAGATATGTGTTTGATTCACGTTTCATGATATCCTTTGTATCAGAGAAATAATTTCTAATGTCACTTCAAAGATCTCTTATAGCATACTTATTCCACAGTAGTTTTTATGTGATATAGCTCATTTTATATTTTGTATTTTGCTTTCTTTCCCAATAAAATGCTATGGTATCTTATATTTTGGGGCCCTATATATGTGATTTCTATTTTTAAAATACTTGTAGATTGCTCAGCAATTTTCATTTTTTGTGCAAGTTTTCCACGCATTTCTGAATCAAATGCAGGTTGATTTTAATCATCATTGCCCAAAATTTGTCTCAAGTATTTGTGTATATTATGCAGTTGTTATTGATTGCAAGTTACAATTGATATATGCATTTTCTCTGTAACTTGACTTTTATGCCGTAAATATGGATATGATCTATATACACTTTAACCAACATAGGCTATATTCTAAATAATCAATGTTTTGTAGTTTAAATTTATATGTACATGTATTTTTATGTTATGTATCAATTTTGTAAGCAGCTGATATACAAGAATGTACATGAATATGGATGAATAAAAACAGATTTGTAAATAATCAAGCATTTTCGTTGCAGCCTTGTTTCAGCCTTATTAAATAGGCCGTTTCGCCCTCCCCGCTCTCTCTCTCTCTTATATTATCTCTTGCTTTCTCTTCCTCTTATAATCTCTCTCTCCTGCCCCTCTCCCTCCTCTTCCATTTCATTGGTATCATAAGAACAGAGGGATATTGATTGGGGAAAAGTAAATATAACACAATTTATGTGTAACTCTGCCAACAGTCTTTTTATATACAGAATGATTCAAACCTGTCACAGTCGAGATCAATACATTAGCCCCCCCCCCCCCCAAAAAAAAGATCATTTGGTGCCCCCCCCCCCCCCGCCTCCCTGGGAAAAAAAATGTGTATTTTTACATTTTTAACGTTAATTTTACCTATTTTTTGGAGATGGGCGCTCAAGGGGGGGGGGTGCAATTTTTCAAATTTTTGAGGGCCCAAAAAAATTAATTAGTGCTCGCTAAAATTAATGGATTTTGACACGTTTTGTCCCCCAGGGTGGGGGTCGCCCCCCCCCCCCTGGATCCGCCACTGGCAGCCTATCATGGAAGAGCTGTAGGAAGATTACCGAATTGTGAATTTTATGTGAGGTAGTAATATATATATATATATATATATATATATATATGACTTATTTTGCCATGCCAAATCAGATAAATGAGCTAAACTTTCTCTGAACGAATTACATTCTACGAGTCCAACAAATTTATCCGAATCAAATTCACTGGCGGTTGGTTTTCTCGTTTTCTCTTCTGTGGTTTACAAAAAAAGGGTACGCAAAATTTGCCTCCAAAGATTTCGCAGAAAGGGAGAACTAAGTACATGCAACAATGTGGGAACTCCTTAAATGGGTAAAGGGGTATTCGGCACTTTGTGTACGCAAGCTTTCATATATTTTTCACAATTGTATTGACAAAGATAAAACAAGTCTCTCACATCTAAAAGAAAGCCACCCTTAAATCGGTGAATAATGAATTCAGGTATGATCAAATATAGTCTTGTGCATTATATCTCATTTGTAACTCTACTACAACTACCCACTGACGGATTTCTTCCCTTAATTGGGGATCGAGGAGGGGGAACAATTATTGATCCACAATTGTATTGATAAAGATAAAACAAGTCTCTCACATCTAAAAGAAAATCACCCTTTAATGAATAATGAATTCATGTATGATCAAATACTTGTGCATTATATCTCATTTATAATTCTACTACGATTACCCACTGACAGATTTTTTCCCTTAAAGATACTATGTCCCTTTTGCAGCCAATCTCAAATTTTGTAGAACTTTGCAGGAATTATGAATATGTCATGTATATCCTATCTGTGAAATTTAAACGTTAGCAGTGTCCTTATATTCAAATTATGCAAGAAAACCCGTTTACTTGCTAGACTACACTGTCAGACACTATTGTCAGTATTGAGTGACTGACTGGCTTTTTCATCTTCTTTGGTAATAACATACATAAAATGAGCTGTAAAGGATTTGTCTACTACAATAACCCACTTCTTGTAGGCTAATGGCCAAAATTAAACTGATTGAATGTTTGCGCAGCATAAAACGTACGACCATGCGGTACAATGGTCTGAAAATCAAGACTATTACTTATTGGCTCTATAGCTC